CATCATATAAGGCCATTCATGTCTCTATCAGATTTCAATACCGCGAAATGTGGTGGAGCAACGGTATTGGATTGTAATGGATGCATTGATTATTTATAGTTTATTACAATTATTTAAATTGTAATTTAGTTTTAAATCGTTTTTATTATTTATTATTGTTTGCTATTTGTATTTGTATTGTTTTACACTAAACATTATTAATAAATTAATGTAACAATTTGGAAAGTATTTGGTTTGAAATTGAATCAAAAGTGTTTTGTAAATATTAAATGAAACCATTTAGCAATTTCATAATATAACTATAAATACAAATATAAATATTTACATGGAGTTTTCGATTAGTTGCTTTTGTTAACATTTCTTTTTCTTTTGCAATAATCGTTTTTTATATAATGCTATTTTCAACTTAAGTAATCAAACACAATATTTTTTTAATTTAAAATTTTACTATAAATAATACACAGAACATTCTAATAAAAACGAAAAACAATTTCAATTGAAGTTACAAAATTTCAATTGTTTATTGAAATAAAAATGAAAAGTGGGGGTGAAAAAATAAAGGGTGAAAAAATATGGGGGCGAAATAACACCCAATCCAATAAAACTTTGAACCCCATATGACTCGACTGTGTAAGGAAAAGTAATTTTAGAAAGAGATGTACATCGTAGAAAACTATCATCTGAAATATAGAAAACACCCTCGGGTATATAAATACACTTTAAAGACTTACAATCAATGAAACACGACGATTGAATACTTTTTATCGACTTGGTCTTATACAAAAACTCAAATTCAGTCATTGAAAAATAATTTTGAAAGTTTGTCTATATAATGTGATATGTGACTTTGACATCACGACTTTTTGGAGTTGTGTACACTCGGCAAATGCATGCCAACCAATTTCAGTCACAGAGTCTGGAATTTCTATTGTATTCAATGAAATACACCCATCGAAACAAATTTCTCCAATACTCTTCAGACCATATTCTAACACTATTTTGAAAGAGATTTACAATAGAAAAAAACACATACTTTTGAGTGACTCGACACTCTTGGGAATATTAAGGTCTAATAATTCTTGACAGCCTGAAAAAGCTATATAACTAATTTCAGAGAGACGACTTGGCAATTTTATACAACTTAAGTTTTGACAGTCTTGGAAAGCTCCAATTAATTTTTGATAGAAGGTTTTAAATGTCTCGGGAACTTCACCGAGGTGAGAGAATAACACACATAAAAACATAATGACCCGAAAGAGGTGAGTCGACTGGGGAAGACCACATTGACTAACGATCAACATTGAGCAAAAGATTTATCACATATTCGTCTTAGTGACAATGGAAATATAAAAGACTTGAGAGAAATACATCAAAAAAGATTCGTTATCAATACACGTGATTGTAGTTGGTATATTTATGGATTTCATTTCTCATTTATTAAAAAAGCACTTTTCATCAATTTTGGTGGCCAAATCGGACAAATGACTGTTGAAAGCAATTTTGTCTTTTTGTGTGTACACAACATTTTTGAAAATTATAGAGTGCATTTGAACACAAGTAATTTTAATTGATTGGAATTTGTTTTCGGAATACATGTCGAGCACGTTCATAGCAGTTTTGTAGTCAACTTCTTCGTAGACAATAATGTGGTAAAAATCCCTGTAAAAGTATGATGTCAAGTGTTTAAAAGCCAAAAAATTGTTTTCTGGTTATACAATTAAAGTCTCTAAATTTTCAAAAAAAAACATTTTACTTCGAGAAAGAGAAATTGGGTTGTAATGAAATTTAGACATAGTTGAATCATATTTCTTAAATACTACAGTTAGTTCGGTTTCAAATGAAACAAGTCTCATAATAAATTGAATTTGTCTCGAAACAAATTAAAATTGCACCTATATTCAATTTTGTTTCAAAACAATAACAATTTGTCTCATTACTTTGTATTTTGTCCCAATAAAAAA